TCTCTCTCTCTCTCTCTCTCTCTCTCTCTCTCTCTCTCTCACACACACACACAAACACACACACATACACATACACACACACACACACAGGAAACTATGGTTCTTTTTTTTCTTTTAATTACCAAACTTCTTAGTTTTATTCAATGTTTCCATGAAGATATCATTGGAAGGAAAGTCCAACATCATTTTACATGATTATCTTTAACAAGGGAACTGCAAGTGGTTTTTTAAAAAATATTTTCTTTTTTATTTAATAGATTTGGGGGTACAGGTGGTTTTTGTTACATGGCTGAACTGTGCAGTGGAGAAGCCTAGGTTTGTAATGCACCTGTCATTTAAATAGTATACATTGTATCCAACAGGTAATTTTTCATCTCACACCTCCACCTCCCACTTATAAGTGAGAACATGTAGTATTTGGTTTTTGATTCCTGGGTTACTTCACTTAGAATAATGGCCTCCAGTTCCATCAAAGTTCCTGCAAAAGACAGTATTTCATTTCTTTTGATGGCTGAGTAGTAGTCCATGGTGTGTGTGTGTGTGTGTGTGTGTGTGTGTGTGTGTGTGTGTGTGTGTGTGTATATGTATACACACTACATTTTCTAGATCCACTCATCCATTGGTGAGCATTTGGGTTGGCTCTGTATCTTTGCAATTGTGAGTGGTGCTGCGATAAACATACGGCTGCGGGTATCTCTTTTATAAAATGGCTTCTCTTCTTCCTTTGGGTAGATCCCCAGTAGTGGGACCGCTAGATTGAATGGTAGATCTACTTTTAGTTCTTTGAGAAATCTCCATACTGTTCTCCATAGAAGTTGTACTAATGTACATTCCCGCAAACAGTGTAGAAGCATTCCCTTTTCACTACATCTGCACAAGCATTTATCATTTTTTGACATTCTGTTGGCCCATTCTGATGAGGGTAAGGTGGTATCTCATTGTGGTTTTAATCTACATTTGCTAGCGATTAGTGATGTTGAGCATTTCTTCATATGTTTGCAGGTCATTTGTTTCTCTTCTTTTGAAAAACGGCTATTCATATCTTTTGCCCACTTTTTAATAGGTTTATATTTGGTTTTATCTTGCTGATTTGAGTTCTTTGTAGATTCTGGATATTGGTCCTTTGTCAGATGTATAACTTGTTTAACTTGTATAACTTGTTTTCTGCCATTCTGTAGGTTGTCTGTTTACTCTATTGATTATCTCTTTTGCTGTGCAGAAGCTTTTAAATTTAATTAAGTCCCATTTATTAATTTTTTGTTGTATTTGCTTTGGGGAATCTTAAGTTATAAATTCTCTACTTATGTTAATATTGAAGAGATAAAAGCCACTTGATCATGGTGAATTATGGTTTTGATGTTCTGCTGGATTTGGTATGCTAGTATTTTTTGAGGATTTTTGCATCTATATTCATCAGGGATAGTGGTCTGTAGTTTTCTTTTTTTTTGTATCCTTTCTTGGATTACGTATCAGGGTGATACTGGCTTTGTAGAGTGAGTCAGGGAGGATTCTTTCCTTCTCTATGTTAAGGAACAGTTTCAGTAGGATAGGTGCCAGTTCTTTGTAGGTTTGGTAGAATTCGGCTGTGATCCATGAGTTCCTGGGCTTTTCTTTGTTGGGATATTTCTTATTACAGATTCAATCTTACTACTCGCTATTACTCTGTTCAGGATTTCTGTTTCTTCCTGATTCAAGATTGGGAGGTTGTGTGTTCCCCAAAATGTATCCATCATTTCCTCTAGATATTCTAGTTTGTGTGCATAGAGGTATTCATAGTAGTCTTAGATATTTTGTACTTCTGTGGTATCAGCTGTAATGTTTCCTTTCTCATTTGTGATTGAACTGAATCTTCTCTCTTCTTTTCTTGGTTAATCTAGCCAGTGGTCTGTTGATTTTGTTTATTCAAAGAAACAAGTTTTTGTTTCATTGCTCCTTTGTATTGTTTTTTTGTTTCTATTTCGTTTAGTTTTGCACGAAAGTACACAGATTCCCAGCTCCCCACCCTGACCCAGCTGTAGCAGAGGTGATGTGGGCAGCTCAACCCAGTGTGTGCAGGACTACCAGAATGGCTGTGGTTGAAACGTTCTGGCAGAGGAGGTGTGTTTATGCCAGGGACTTCTCTCCAGGGAAGGTAGGCTCCTCCCAGAAGAGACAGGAAGTTCTGGTGAGAGGACTGCTAGCCCTGCCCTCCCTCTGCAGAAGCAGTTGCTTTAGTCCTTAGCATGAGCATGAAAGCATGAAAAGCACTTGTGGCTTTTTTTGAGGGAAGAGAGTGCACTTAAACCCCATGGAATGCTGGCTGTGATAGGTGCTTTGTCAGAGGCAGGGCAGCCACTCTCAGGTACCCTGGCTTAATCTCCCCCTGTGGAATCTACACCAGTCCCAAGCAGACACAGACATGGCTGCCTTAGGAGCAGTGAGCAGAGGAGGGAAAGGAGGGATGGAAGCCCCCGAACAGTGGGGAGCTGGTTTCCTGGTTCCTTTTGTCCTAAGGGGCCCTCTGGCATCCTTCATTGTCCTCTCAGCTGGAAGCAGTCTGCCCTGAATGCCCAAGCTCTTGGAGACCCACAGTTCTCCTGGACAGTCCCCCAAGGCTGCTGCGGTCTGAGTGGGTGCTAGGGGAGCACTGGCTGTGGATACAGCAATGTAGAGATCCAGGGGCTGATATTCCCAGGTCAGGACAGCTGCAA